GTTGCGGGGTGGGGACGCCGGGGGGGCGGGGGGGACGGACAGATGTGTTGTTTCCCACTTCTTTGCCGGGGTTTCAAATTAGACAATGGTGCAGTCAGTTGAATTTATGGGTGCTTTTAATATTATTCATGTCAAAAAACCAATTTTTCACTTTAATCAAAAAAATTTGACATTCATCATAAAAGCCTATTTTTGTGTAAGAGACAAAAATACCCTTAAATGAGTTTTTCAATTACAAAAATGGAAATCTGTTAAAAAGATCAAAATATCCTTAAGTTACAAATTAAAATCCAAATACCTCTCAATTGATATTTGAAAACGAAGTCACTCTTTTTTATCAGTTTAATCTAACACGATAAAAAAAATTTCATTTTTCATCCACTTCAACCTCAAAATTTCATAAACTTATCAGTTATCAATCTCAACAAAAATATTTCGTTAAATTTCAGCACTTTAATTCGGTAAGTATCTTTTCATAGTATTTAATTTTGTTTTTATTGAAGTCGTATATTTTTTTAAATGGTAGAGAAAATAATATTAGAATCGAAGTGAAGGCCGGCACCGATCGCCGAAACGAATTATGTTCCATTACGGACCATACGAACCATTAAAATGGTCCGTTCCGGACCATGTGGTCCGGATCCAGACCCGAATTTTTCTTTTTTTCTTTTTATTTTCTGAATCAATTTTAATTTTTATGTTAAAAAATGTAATAATTAAATATGAAATAAATAATATATATGTTAAGATAATGAACGAAATTTAAAGATAGATTAAATAGAAATTTAATTTTTTTTACTTAAATATATGTTTAGTAATTAAATATACGAAATAAATAATAAATATATGTTTAGTGAATTAATTATGGAAACAATTAATATAATTAATTAAAGAAATACTTAAATGAAAATATTAATATATTTTAATTCAAATAAATAATCAAAATAGAGTAATTAAACATGAAATCAATAATATACATAATTAACGAAATATTTAAAGAATAAATGAAATTGAATAATAATTTTCTTACTTAACCAATTAAGATAATTAATTAAAGAAATAGTAAAATGAAAAATCGAATAAAATATTATTATCTTTATTCAAATAAATAATCGTAATAGAATAATTAAATATGAAATGAATAATATAAATAATTAACGAAATATTAAAAAAATAAATTAAATTCAATAATAATTTTTTTACTTAACCAATTAAGATAATTAATTAACGAAATGGTTAAATTACAGATCGAATTAAATATTATTATTTTTATTCAAATAAATAATTGAAATAGAATAATTAAATATGAAATGAATAATATGCATAATTAACGAAATATTTAAATAATAAATTAAATTGAATAATAATTTTCTTACTTTAAGAATTAAGATAATTAATTAAAGAAATAGTGAAATGAAAAATCGAATTAAATATTATTATTTTTATTCAAATAAATAATCGAAATAGATTAATTAAATATGAAATGAATAATATACGTAATGAACGAAATATTTAAAGAATAAATTAAATTGAATAATATTTTTTTTACTTATTGAATTAAGATAATTAATTAAAGAAATAGTCAAATGAAAAATCGAATTAAATATTATTATTTTTATTCAAATAAATAATCGAAATAGAATAATTAAATATGAAATGAATAATATACGTAATTAACGAAATATTTAAAGAATAAATTAAATTGAATGGTAATTTTCTTACTTAACGAATTAAGATAACTAATTAAAGAAATAGTGAAATGAAAAATCGAATTAAATATTAATTCAAATTATTCAAATAAATAATCGAATTAAATTTTCTTACTGATTCTTTTTTTATTACTAATTGTGTTCTATAGTGTAAAAAACTATGGAACACTTCCAGAATAACGAGTTTGAGTATATTTTTTATGATTACTATGATGTCGCTGATAATTGTTTAATTCGTAATGCGGGTATGGCAAAAGTATGTGTCACAATCTGTTACTTCGACGAATTTCAAAGAAAATAAAATGGTCAATGGGAATGGAAATGGACGAGTGAAGGAGAAGGGGTTGCTGCTATTTCGATAATAAAAAATACATTGTTTACGGAAATGTACAATGAAATACAAAACATGCTTAACGTCGATTCTTCTCAGTACGATATGAAATTGGGATTTTTATTTCAAAAGCATTCAATAATTTCGATTCCACCTTTGAAGGTTACTTCTGAAGTGCAAATAAAGCATGTAATTCAATTGAACCAAGGTCGAAAGACAACTCCTATTTGCGTAACTTTGTTGAAGAAAAATGTCCCCAAAGGTGAGCACGAAGTTTTCGATGGAGAGGATCGTAACAAGAATGATTTTTGGGATACTGTTGAGATTGCTCATGATGATGATGTGGTTATTCCTGGGACGGTTGCTACTCGTCATGATGTCACCGTTGCACAAAGGATTTACGAGGAAGTTCAAGACAACGAGGATGAAAGGCCATTTACAAATCAGGATTTGATTGCTTTATCCAGACAGAGACATGAGTCTAGTGGGAGTTCACATGTTGGGCCGAGTACACGATTAACTAATTGTTCGCATGTAGTTCCTGATGATGAAGATTTACATGTCGATCAATTGTTTGACACGAAAAGAGATTTGCAAGAAGCTGTGCACCGAATTGCAATGAAACATAATTTTGAGTTTAAGGTAAAAAAATCAAACAAGTCTACATGCACAATTATTTGCGTGGACAACAATTGCAGTTGGCGTTTGAGAGCGACAAAAATGGACACAAATGAGTTCTTTGTAGTTCGCAAGTATGCGCGGGAACATACTTGTGAAGTGGGTATTCGTCAAAATGATCACAAGCAAGCTCGATCATGGTTTATTGGTCGCCAGCTAATGCACAAATTTCAGGACCCACGGACGATTTACAGACCTATAGATATCATCAATAACATCCGTCAGGAGTATGGGGGTAGTTATGAGTTACCAGAAGGTCTGGAAGGCAAAAAAATGTGCATTGGAAGATTTAATGAGTTCGACAGAGGAGAATTATGTCAAATTGGCCAGGTATTGCCACAACATGGTGAGAACTAATTCTGACTCAGCGTTTTTTATTGAAACCGATGGGCAGAATCGCTTCAAGTATTTTTTTATGGCTCTTGGACAATGCATTAGAGGTTTTCGAAATGCGATGCGACCTCTAATTCTAGTTGATGGTACAGCCCTAAAAGCTAGATATGAAGGGAAGTTGATTATTGCTACATGTCAACATACCAACATCCAAATTTACCCTCTTGCATTTGGCATTGTCGATGGAGAGACTGATCTAGCAATGCGTTGGTTCTTCACGAAGCTGAGAGAAGTAATTGGGGACATCGAGAACCTTGCATTTGTGACTGACCGGGGGTAGTCAATAATAAATGGTATAGCCAAAGTTTTTCTGGAAGCACATCATGGTTATTGCATGTACCACATTCAGAGCAACCTGAAGACTATGTACTGAGACAGTGGCATCGTTGCATTATTTAGGAGAGCTGCAGAAGCTTACGTCTTTGAAGAGTTTACGAAGTTCATGGGCGAAATAGCACATAAATCAGAAGGTGCATGGGAATATCTATCAAATATGGAGGTTGAACATTGGGCACGGTCACATTTTCCAGATCATCGATTCAATATGATGACGTCGAATAATACGGAGTCACTTAATGCATTATTCAAGAAGGATCGAGAGTTACCAATTCTCACAATGATTGAACATATTCGTAGCAAGTTGCAACAGTGGTTTTATGACCGGCGTGAGGAATCCCAGAATTGCTCGAGTGTGCTAGCTCCGGCACAGGAATATCGACTATTCAAAACTCTGGAAGTGGCAAAAGCTCTATTTGTGGAACCACTAGATCAATTTCGCTTCTCCGTAAGATGCGGGCGTAATGTTGGATACATTGTAGACTTGAATGACAATACCTAGACGTGTAGACAATTTCAGTTGGAGAGTTTTCCATGTGCGCATGCTATCGCAATGGCTATGTATAGAGGATTTTCACCACACAGCTTATGCAGTCATTATTATATGGCTGATTTTTGGAGAGCAGCGTATGCCGAAACTATATTTCCTCTACCAAATGAAGTCGAGTGGGAAGTTCCTGATTATATTGTAGCACTTAATAATTTGTTGCCACCTGAAGTTCGACTGCGTACTCCTAGTCGTAGATAAATGTTTAGAATACCATCTACAGGTGAGTTTCCACAACCGCGTAAGTGCGGGAGGTGCAGCGCTACAGGGCATACACGTCGATTTTGTACAAGTCAGATCCCACTAAACAATGACTTGACGAATGTGTAGTATCTATATAAATCATATGTATTCTCTATTTGTAATATGTTTTTTATTTTCTCAATTTAAATCGGATGTAATTTTAATCACATTGTTTAATTACTCTTTCTAACAGCATATTTGAATAAAAAAATAGGTTAAGTATAATAAATGTATAATTGGTTAAGTTTTTCTTTAATTAATTATATTAATTGGTTAAGTAAAAACTTAATTATCTCATATTTAATTACTTATTTCGATTATTTATTTGAATAAAAATAATAGCACTTACTTCGAGTTTTCGTTTAAGTATTTCTTTCATTAATTATCTTCATTTGGCACGTATATTTAATTATTTATATTCCTTTAAAAATTATATTTCGTTAATTATCTTAGTGTGTATATTGTTTATTTAATATTTGATTGCTATATTTCGATTACTTATGTAAATGAAAATAATAATATTTTGTTTTTTTTCTTTTATTAAAGCGAGACAACGATATATATTAACTGACAATATGGAGAGATTACAGACACAACAATAATGTAAATTAAAATAATAATATTTTGTTAATTAAATATTTAAAAAATTTATTACATTACAACACGAATTATACTGAAATAAACAACACTTACATTTCAATAAAATAATATACA